TTTGAATATTACATGTTAATAACTTGATTGGAATTATAACCTTGAGTTGACAGTTTGATACTTTGAAAATTTTGAGCCAGCCCTACCCCCAAGGGCTGTAGGGTGGGGCTCAAGGGAGTCAGTGTGCTAAAATTTCTTCATTTTCCTTGTTTAGAATCAGAGGTGCTAGTTTCAAATCCTTTTTAGTCTGAAATCTGTATGCTTGATATTGAATAAGGTGGTTTTATTGTTTTTTGTCACTTTGAATAATATTTCTGTTCATGTTAAAAACGAAATCAACTCTCTGTATAAATATATCAGGTGACCGTTAAGGCCCATGGACCTCTTGTTTGAAAATATTATCTGTGCTATGAAAACCTCTTTATATCCCTCCATCACCGGGGGATATCAAATTAATAGTAGTGTACGTTACCCATGTACATCCCTCCTGTCCCCTCCCTTCCCTGTCCCGATTTAAAATGTCATGATTCAATCAACTTTATTTTTTAACAAGTTATTATTAAAGTTTATACAAAGGTTAAGCATGAACATGCTGTTAAGTTTGTATTCCTGGGTTCTAAGGTCAACACAAAGGTCACAGTTGCGTTTTATAGGTTAACCACATGGCCAATGTGACATTCATGACATACAGACGTTTTCTAGTTTGCTCTCGACTCTATACAATTTATATCAAGTTCATATCACACATTTAAACATAATGCATGGCAAATAATGATCAATTGTATTTGGCATCCAACTCCTAATATAATTTCTCAGCTGCTGTTGTTGTTAAGTGATGCCCAATTATCTTGTATAGCAACACCGCCGATTCATAAAGCATGCTTTTTTCATCTTTGATTTAATTTTACATACTTGTCTACTAGAACATAACTTTCTATTTTACAGAGACCAAGTATAGAGTTAATACAGAAACGGACACACTCAAATATGACTGACCGTGCCAAGGAGGAGGAAGAGAAAAGAAAGCTCAGACTGCACAGGGCACAAGCAGCAGTTATGTGTGACAAGAAGAGAGAAAAGGTGTATAAATTGTCAGAATTACGACGAGCTCAAGTAATTTTGGAACCGGATGATTCTGACTCCAAGGAAGAGAATCCTCCTCCAGAAAGTTCATCAAAAGGATCCTGGACTTTGGCCAAGATTGGTCTGTCTGTACTCGGTGGAGTGGTCGTGGTGGCGGCCACACCAGTCGTGCTGGGTGCCGTGGGATTTGCTTCCGGTGGGATTGCAGCAGGTACATTTATCTACTGTAGCAGAACAATCCTTTTTAGCTCGCCTTCCCAAAGGGCAAGTGAGCTTATTTCATGGTCCGGCGTCCGTCCTCGTCCGTCAACGTTTCATTTAAACAAGTTCACCTGAAGAATGGACAGGCCTAGAGTCATGATATTTGGCTGAAAGCTTTGTTGGTAGGAGCCCTACAAAGTTTGAGAACGAAAATGACTTTGACCTACTTTCAAGGTCACAGGGGTCAAATATGTCAAAAACTTCAAACGACTTCTTCTGAAAAACTAAAAGGTATAGAATCTTCATATTTGGCTGGTGGCTTCCTGGGATAGAGCCCAACAAAGTTTGAGAATGAAAATTAGTTTGACCTACTTTCAAGGTCACAGGGGTCAAATATGTCAAAAATTTCAAACGACTTCTTCTGAAGAACTAAAAGGTATAGAACCTTCATATTTAGCTGATGGCTTCCTGGGATGGAGCCCAACAAAGTTTGAGAATGAAAATGACCTAAACCTACCTTCAAGGTCACAGGGGTCAAATGTGTCAAAAGCTTCAAATGACTTCTTCTGAAGAACTGAAAGGTATAGAATCTTGATATTTGATTGATGGCTTCCTGGGTTGGAGCCCAACAAAGTTTGAGGATGAAAGTGACCTTGACCTTCTTTCAAGGTCACAGGGGTCAAATGTGTCGGACACTTCAAACGACTTCTTTTGAAGAACTGGAAGTTATAGCACCTTAATATTTGGCTGGTTATTTCCTGGGAAAGAGCCCAACAAAGTTTGCGAATGAAAGTGACCTTGACTTACTTTCAAGGTCACAGGAGTCAGATATGTCTAACACTTGGAACAACTTCTTCTGAAGAACTGAAAGGTATAAAATCTTAATATTTGGCAGGTGGCTTCCTGGGAAAGAGCCTAACAAAGTTTGCGAATGAAAATGACCTTGACTTACTTTCAAGGTCACAGCATTCAAATATGTCAAACGGTTCAAACTACTTCTAAAGAAGAATTAAAAGGCATAAAATTATAATATTTGGCTGGTGACTTCCTGGGATAGAGCTCACCAAAGTTTGCGAATGAAAATGACCTCAACCTACTTCAGAGGTCACAGAGGTCAACAACATTTTTAGCTCACCTGGCACGAAATTCCACAGAATTTTGGAAAGAAGTTCGGGGTCATATTTCTGGACAGACCAGTAGGAGAAACGAAATGTTTTTTTTCTGATGCTGACATGGTCGTGAATAATGCTGAACATTGTATCGTATCTATATCTTTCCGTCTACAAGTGATTGGTAGTAAGGCACTGCCTGTTGTCTAATCCTTTTGTTAACTCAATAAAATTTGTTGAAATTGAAATTAATAGTCGAGTTGGTTTAAATAGCATATCCCCTACACTTGATCCATTCCCGTGTGTATTTGTAGCACTAATTGTATATGAATGCCAGTTGTTTTAGTTTTGCAATTCTTTTGCTTTGCTGCAGAAGTTACTAACATGGGTGTTCCATTTCGTACTTTCTCTGAGGGTGATGCCTAAATTCAAATTTCAAACAACAATATCTTAAGATGCCTACGGAACCTTTTAAAAAATTTCCCTTCAATTAAAGGTCTGATTAAAAGCTACCAATGAAAATATGAACACTTGAAAGATCACTATGGGTTGCTTCATTTTCAGGGTCGCTGGCAGCACAGTTAATGTCGGCTGCCGCAGTTGCCAATGGAGGGACCGTGGCTGCAGGGTCGGCTGTGGCTGTCCTTCAGTCTGTGGGGGCTGCAGGTCTGGGACTCACTGGGGCTGCCACTGTAGGGACAACTGCGGCCGGGGCTACGTTCTTGGGTACAACTGCCGTGGAGAAACTTACTGAAAAGGACAAGTGAAGCTAAATTCAGACACAATATAATCACTTAAATGATTGTGTTAATTATAATGATGTAAACTAAAAACAGATTATTTAGTAAACAGAATTGAACATTAAACGTTGATGAATTACTTATAATGCATATAGTTTCAAATCAATGAAATAAGTTTTGAAATCAATTTCATACATAAACCAAAGTGGAAACACAATTTATCACACAATGTATTTGTGTATTAAAGGGGCATCACGCTGAAGTAACTATTTTTTTTGTCTTTTTTTCAAATACTACATAAACATATCAAGTGATACTCCTTATGGAAAATAACGATCGGATTTGGCTGAAATAGATTCATAAAAATGATTAAATCTAAGATAATCATCGGCATTTCTACCTGTCTGACCAGCGTTTTGTTCAGGGATTTCCCTCTACTAGCGCATGCGCATTGCACACCATTTCTTTGTAATCAAAATGACTGGCCGTGTGAAGTAAGCCAAAGAAAAGTGTTGTACCGTGTAAGCTACGAAGCGAAAAGTTGCCAAATGGTCAAAAGATAGTGCAAGGAGTACGTTACGGAATCATTATTACAGGTGGGAAGTATTCAAAGGAGAAAATAACTGCCCTAGCAGTTAGTACGGTGCATGTATTCTTCCGGATAGCCGATTAAGCTGAAATGGAATCGACAGAAATGCTGGCGCTGTTTATGTTATGAATAAATATCTAAAACTATTAGCCTCGCTAGTATCTTTGTCTGAGTTTAATATGTCAATGGGCATGTATCGGAGAGAGTTTACTTTGTGTTTCTATAATTATACAGTGGTTTATGCGAAAGGAAGGGATAAGTGACTGGTTAGTTTGATTTTGTCATGAGGCCCTCCAAGGGTTAATTGTTGTGATAGCCACGGCGTATTCTGTCTCTGTCGGTACTCGTGATCGGGGTCAAATGAGATACGTGCGCTTTTAGATTTACATAATTTGTAATATAACCGGGTTCAGTAAAATGGTATGATTTAATTATATTGCTGAATTTAACGATTTTTTGTTTGTTTTTACATACAAGATTTAAATTAGTACTAATATGAATACCCGGCTTCCTCTGGCGCGACGATGCAATATATACAAAAAATCTCTCGTCGTCAGAAAGCTACATTATCGCAGCTAGATTAAAAATTTCAAAATGACGGGCCAAGATTAATAACTGAATATTTTTCGACTTCAGATAGAATCGGAATACGTATTGAAAACAGGGGAAGAAACATTTGTTTACGTTGTAAAAATGATGCGTGCTGCCGATAACTACGGCTTCTGTTTCGGACAAAAATGAAATGATTAAAGAAAAGTTGGCTCATCATAAAAAAGGGTCCATTGACAAGAATGCTTTAATCTATGAAAAGTATTGAAAAAATATCATTATCAAGTATCTCAACACGTCCCATATCTGACAGATATTCTACATGTACACGTAATGGTTTTGTCATACAGTTTAGTGTGTGATGGCTAATATGACTTACTAAGTGTTAGCGTATGGAGACAGTGAAAGTGGGAGAGAGAGTATACATAAATTTATATGCATGGTATAGAAAAAAAAATTGGCCAAAGACAATGTAATAAAAAAAATCACAAATGTTTCTTTTTTATACGTGTAGTTTGTCATTGCATATATGCACTTTATGAAAACATTTGAAAAGGGATATTCGTCTCGTGAATATTCCTTTTTACAGAAAGGTTTGTCCCATGGTTGAAGAAAGGTGTTTAGCCCCGTACAGATGTCTCGTTCCGGTACTAAATTCAATATATATTTTTTTAGAAGGACCAAGGTGAGCTTATGCCATACCGTGGCGTCCGTTGTCCATCCGTCCGTCCGTCCGTTCTTTAAACGACTTCTTCTTCTTAACCACTGATTGGAATTCAACTAAATTTGACTGGAAGCATCCCTAGGTGGTGGGGCTTCAAAATTGTACAAATGATGGAGCTGACCCCCCAGGGGGCTGAGAGGCGGGGCAAAAAGGGGTCAATTTGGCTATATTGCTTTAAGCGACTTCTTCTCTGGAACTAAGAAGTGGATATCAACCATATTTGACTGGAAGCATCCCTAGGTGGTGGGGATT